GCCATACCTCTTTTAATCAGTATACTCAGTTTGATGTTTGGCCTGCTTGAAAATTTAATTAACATTTTTTCTTCTTGTATCCCCCTCCCCCACACACAAAGGCCATAAACTTGGGATTATCCCTTTTGCAAGTCCCCTCTTCAGAGTTGCAATAAAGTATTTATCTGGAAAATCGTATTTTCTTCACTTAGTAGATACTAGGCTACAGTGATTGCTAAGTTTATCATAAATGTTGGGGGGGGGGGAGGATGATAAGCAATCCACACACATTTAAGACAGGTTTCTACCCCATCAAAGTTTACACAAATGTTCTGATGACCAATAGCTAGTGAGTGCTTGGTCAAAGTATTCTGAATACTGATGAATAGAGTGTACAGCAGAATTAGACCAGAAATAAAATAACAGTGCAATTTCATTTAAGACACTGGAGTGAGGAATGAAATATTTATGCTCAGAATGATATCTGAAAGAATGATCTATACCTATGTTTTATAGATTATGTAAAATCATTTTATAAAGTATGTTACAAACAATTGTTTGAACTGCTAGGCAAGGTTGATTGATTTGGAAAGGATAGGAGAACAATCCAGAACTTTTATTGGCAGCAAATCACTTGCATGTAGATGGAAAATGAATTCAGTAACTATACAAAAAATAGAAAGGGGCACAAGACAAGGGTGTGTATTTTCACTAGATTTATTCAACATTTAAATTTAATCAAACCTGAGAGAATTAGAAGTTCTACTAGGATTCATTATTGGCAACCACTATCTTAACAACCTTAGATATACAGATGACACAGTGTTGATAGCAGGTACAGAAAGTGAACTACAGGTACTCCTATAGAAGGTAGTAAAGGAAAGCAAGAAGAAAGGACTAAGCATCAATTGTAAGAAGACAGAATGGATGGTTGTCAGCAACAGGTACAACCCAACATATAGACTACAAATTGGAGACACCAAAATCAAGCAAGTAGAAAAATTTAAATATGTAGGAAGCATTTTAACAGAAGATGGAAAATGTAACACTGAAATTCAAAGACACATTGGAATAGTGAAAGATTTCTCCCAAAAGTGAATCAAATACAGGAAAATTTAATTAGAAACAACGAAAATACAGGACTGTTACACAATATCAATTCTCATATATGGCAGTGAACATCAGACAATCTCCTCACAGATGGAGAAGAGACTTGAAGCAACAGAAATGAGGTTCTACAGAAGGATGCTGAGAATACAAGTGAGCAACAACAAAGTTTTAAGAAATATGGAAACAAAATGGACAATACTTATGCGTAGCATCAGAAACAGTTGAAATTTCTAGGGCACATAATGAGGAAATAAGGCTTAGAAAATTTAACACTTGCAGGACATATTGAAGGAGAGAGAGAGAGAGAGAGAGATATGGTGGAAAACTACCTAATAAGCATGTGTAAAGGATTGGCAAAAAAGGGATTATAAGAAATAGCAAAAGAACAAAGATTGCTACAAGCCACAAAGGACAAAGTTGTGTAGAAACATAACTTATTTCACTTTAATATTAGCAAAAAGGCTAACAGTTTATTCCAAGTGTTGCCCGTTTTTTGTTTTTTTAATGGCATATCAACTGCTTATGGGCCATTTAATGCTGAAATTTCACTTTCCTAGGTGCTCTGAAATAAAAAATATATATGTGTTAATCTGCTTTCACAACTGAGTACAAGGTAGATGATACTCAGCTTTTGTGTATATACATGTTTGTGTAGATATAACCACTAGAGGTGGTGATATAGTGTTTTATGTTATAGTTTTGTTGAAGTTATATTTTGGAATACAGTTTGATTTAAGAAATTGTAGTCTTTTATATTAATTAATCATGATAGCTCTTTTGGGTTGGTTGTTTGGTTGATTTTGTTTAACAGTATATCTATCTCTATGAGTTATTTAATGCCAAATCTAAATATTTTGAATGCAAATGCATACCTTCAACTACAGATGTACTATAAAAATGTATTGCTGGTAATATATATATATATATATATATATATATATATATATATATATATATATATATATATAAAAATGGCAATAACTGTGTTTCTCTGAATGAAGTTGCCACCTAAACTTGCAAACCAATATTGATGAAAATTTGCATACATGTTAAACATACAGGTTAATTGGGTTTTTTTTTTTTTTTATAAAAATCTAAAATGGAACTGCTAGGGCCCCTAGATAGCAGCTTGCCACCAGGTCTTATGCACACAGTTCACTGTGTTTAGCATTTAATTTAAGATAAATTACTTACTTTCAGATTTCACTATGGGCATCATTAAATTTGCCAGGTTTGAATTTATTAAATACAAAAAAAATTGGCTCAATCCATTTGGTCATTTAAATGTAAAATAACATTTAAATTGAGTTTATTCGCAAATAGAAACTTTACCTAAGCTTATATTTCAACCTACCATATTGTGATTGTGGTTGTTATCTGTGGAATAACAAGTTGTTTGAAAGACACTTCAGTGCTATATACCGTTTGTGTAAAAAAAAAAATGTAGCTGTGGAAATAGACAGCTATCTTAAAAAATCTAAACCTTAATTGGTATGAGCCACATACTTTCCCTGTTAAGTTTTACTTTTAATTACAGTGGTTTAATTAGACAATATAAATTCGAATTGCAATGAAAAGTGAAACTGTAAGAAACACCCAATCATCAGGTGTTTATGATTTAACTGTACTATTTGTCAGTGTTGTAAATCTTTTCTTAATCTATATGTTATTCTATTTCTAAATCTATATATAAATCTATTTGCAAGTCTATTGTGAAACTATGTCAGTCTATTTGTACATGTATTGTAAATTTGTTTTAACACTGGATCTCGTAAGGCTACATTCTTTGTGAATGCACAAAATCCCTTTTCAGGGCTACATATTTTGAATTGTTACTTTCGGATAACTGAAGAAAGGATATGAGAACAAAAATTGGGGATAACATCTGCTTTTCCAGGAATTACTGGGTACATCAGCTAGTTTTACTATAAAAATGTATTGTTGGTAATTTTAGCATTAAAATGGATTTTATATACTTTGATAGTGTTTTGAGGTTCACTATTTGTCCATAGCTGGGACCCTAACAGCTACTACCACTTCAGGTCAGGATGAACCTGGAAACAACAGCAATTAAGATTTGGTAGCATGCTCCTCAAAACCTCCAACCTCCTGATCAAAAGTCTTGCTGCCAGATATAGTTTATTATCATACCCAGGATTACCAAGTGGTGTTCTTAAACTATATGACAAAATATTTTTTAATTTATTCAAACTATTATTCCTCTTTTGACTATAGTTCTTCTTTTACTATGTACTATGTCCCTTTTTATTTTTAGGGTAAAGTGGGTTTCATATGAAATATTTTATATGTAATCTTATGGAAATAAATTTTTGAATTTCACTGTTCATTCAAATTTATTCACACCTCAGCATTAATACTTTTTATGCCTCTAATTCATGTCACGTTTTGTTGTCATTTCAAACGTCAGATATGATAAATAAGTGAAGCTGAACATAAACTCAGAAATTTGATTTTTTTCTCTCTCTCTCTCTCTCTCTCTCTCATTCTAATTGAGGCTTAAAATTTTTTTATTTTCTGTTTGAAGTTTCCTTCTCCACATACATGAGACTTGCTTGAGTGAATGTTCATTGTTCCAGAATTTTGCCATCTGGGTGATGAATTATTTTCTGTCCTACAACCCACTTTCCCTTATCGCTACACTATTTTTCATGGCAAATGTTCAGATGAGCTACATTCCTTAGTTCCACCAGTTCAGACCTTCACAGCTTGGACTCACTGGCTACATACACTGGGTTGAATCATCCTCATTACCTTCGTATTCCATTAGTAAGGAGGAAGTTTCATTTGGACAGCATCTTCCCCAGAACATTTGTTTTGTGTAACAGAGAGAATGCTACCCCAATTGCTATAATCTTGAAGAGGTTAACGCTTCAAGTCTAGGGTCAACCATTATATAACATATCCTTATAATATACACTTCTTAACCCCCCCCATGACAACTTCATTCAGGAACCCTCTACCTTGAGTGGGTCTTGGGCCTTATATTGGGTGAACAATAGTATATGAAAAAGGGAAAAGGTTTTGACCTCAGCACATAAATAAGCCAGCCTCACATTCTGTGTAAATTTTAGATGAAGCAATCAAATATATTTCTCCCTATCATTTATTCTCTGGCTTTATTTATATTTTTTAAAAAGATGCATTTAATAAATCAGCATCTAATCTGAATGTGTTGTGATATTTCAATGATTAATGTCATTAATTGCCAAAATATTTGTTTCTCTCAGGAGTTGAGACAGAATGAAATAAAGATAAATTTCCCATTATTCATAGAATTCAACATTTGCATTACAAACACAAATTTCATCATTTTCCTATCTTTTGATTCCATATCTTATCATTAGATTTTTTTCTCATTCTTTTTCAAGCTTCAAAATTTTCAAACTTAAAACATTCTAGAGTCAATATTTTATTAAAGCTACTTTTTCAAGTGATATTTCAAAGATACATTTTACGAAAGTGGTGCAATTGATATTTTATGGCACAAAATCTCCTGGAACTAGAAATTACCGTAGTTAAAATTGTGAAACTTCAGTTATTGAACAATGTGGTACAAACTTTCAAATTAATCTTATTATAAAAAAAGTAATAAAAAAAAAGTCAATAGAATGAAATCTGAAATGAAAATACAGAGTAAAGAAAACAGGATTTGTGATTCTTTAAAGTTAAAAAAGAATACATCATGTCCCAATGGCTTTAGATCAGAGTTTTCCAACCTGGTCGATAACAACTCTTGGGTGAGCAATCAGCAACTGAACAGAAAAAGGTGACCAATTGGAAATTTTGGTGGATGTTATGGGATTTTGAGTATTAAATTTACCTAAATTGCTTTTTTTTTGTCAACTAACCCTAACCATAAAACTAACCTTGATCATGACTTACAGCTATATAGCATTGAAACACCAGTTCTCATATGATCACAGAAGTTAAACAACGTCAAGCCTAATCAATACCTAGATGGGTGATCACTTGGGAATACCAGGTACAGTAAGCTTGGATGTGTGAGTGGTTTAAGGGATAATAACTCAGAATTGTTAATTGGAGAGCCAAATTCTAATTTCAGTTGGGTTCATTATATTCACTTATGCAAAAATACCCTTGAGAAAAGTATGAATCCATCTCTTCTCCCCCACATCTATGGATTAATTAGTAAGACTTGTATCATTAAACCATTATTATCTCAAAGAAAAAAAAAATCTTACTATCTAAAAATATTTTCTGGCTTCAGATAAGCTGTTAAGTGTTGATAAGCTATAGAAAACAATCAATCAAAACTTTGACCCTAAAACTAATATATATATATATATATATATATATATATATATATATATATATAGTTTTCAATTGTCAAGTTTGCTTTTATTTGTTCTTTAATATGGTAATAGCAGTAGCCGCAGCATAAATCGATCAGCATTGATTGTTACCTCCCTTTGGTATTTTTTTTTACTATATCATGAAATCAGTTTACGAACCAGTAACAAACTTTTACCAAACAATTCTGGTATACTTTTGAATAGTTACTATACAAGCAGGCAGTAGTAAATTTTTCCATGTGGGAGTGGGCGATGACCCAAAAAAAGGTTGAGAACCCCTGCTTCAGACATACAACCTCTCATCCAAATATTGGCTATTTCTATTTGTGATTATTAAATTAATTTTATAAGTAAATGAACTGAGATATAATCAAATATTTTCCTTGAGTAATTAATTTGCATATAAAGCAACATGAAAGATTTTCTAAAGAATTACTTGCAAAATTTAATGGAATGAATATACCACCATTTTCTATTTGAATTCATTTATCAAATTCTGTTGAATTTTGAGTTGTTTGTTATTGGGTACAAATTAAAAGAGATAAGCTGATTTAAAGTGATTTCAAACAAAACACAACAGAGTTTAATCTTCATTCATTCAATAAATGTTCAAAACTAAAATCTTCAGTAGATCTTTTGCCATAACAGACAGGATCCTCCTCCTCCTCCTCTTCCTCTTTGTTACTCTTCATTGTCATCATCAAGAGTAGTAGTAGTAGTAGTAGTAGTGATAATAAATAAAAAATGTAATGATAAATGAACAGGCAATAAAACTTGGTCATTCCTCCTCCTGCAGCACATTCACCAACAGATTTCCCCTTCATTCTTTTGTAATATTAATAGGATGGTTGATTTCATTTAGTGGCATATCAACACCTCTATGGGTTATTTAATGCAGTAATCTAAATATTTTTGAACACAATTTTATGGTTTCAGCTAAATATATTCTGAATGCAATTGTATGCCTTCAGCTATTGATAAAATGTATTGTTCATTTTTTTTTTTTTATAAAAAAATATATTGTTGGTATTTTTTGCTATAACATTGTTTTGTTTAGCCTTGGTTCAGCTTTTTCCATAGCCAAGACCCTAACAGGTACTACCACCCTGAGTCAGAGTGAACCTGGGAAAAACAGCAATTAAGAGGTGGTTCCATGTTCCTCAAAACCTTCAATCTCCCAATCAGAGGCCGGATGTAGTTTATTGCCATACCCAGGTCTAATATTAATAGGATGTTTCTAATAAAACCTTTTTAATCAAACTTTTGAATAGAGTGTGTACATTTTCTCATATAGATGTAATTGATTGCAAAGAGCCAAGTGTTCTTAATTGGTGCCAAAATTATGAGCCAAAGATTTATTGGAGAAGAAATGAGAAACTGAAAGAAAAATATGATGCATGTGCACTTGTGTGGATATAATAATAATAATAATAATGGTATCATACATGAGCAGATTTGGCAAACCTATGCAGATGTTCACAGAGGATGTCAGTCACACTCTACAGATCAGCATTTGTAAATTATTAACTCAGAGAATATAAATGAAAAGTGTTGAAAATGCAAAAACAAGATATTAACAATGAAATAGTCTAAACCCCTCACCACAGAAAAAAAAACATGAGGAAAACAAGTGATCAAAGGTTGAAAACCGATTTAGTGTTTCTCAAAATGTTGAAAATTTAAGATATTTTTTTTTCAATTTTTTTCCACTTTGTGAGCATCAAAATCATGTAAAAAGAAAAAGGAAACTTTAACAGACAAACCACTTGCCTAACTATTTTGCCTAACAGATAAAGCGTTTGCCTAACTATTTTGCCTAACAGATAAAGCGTTTGCCTAACTATTTTGCCTAACAGATAAAGCGTTTGCCTAACTATTTTGCCTAACAGATAAAGCGTTTGCCTAACTATTTTGCCTAACAGATAAAGCGTTTGCCTAACTATTTTGCCTAACAGATAAAGCGTTTGCCTAACTATTTTGCCTAACAGATAAAGCGTTTGCCTAACCTGTTGCTATGTAAATAAATGAGGCATCAGATTCAGCCAACAAATTGATTATAAAATAACCAAGTACTTGAAACAGAATTATAACAACATGATAAACAGAAACAGAATTATAACAACATGATAAACAGAAACAGAAAAAGCAAAGTGGTTCAGAATTAAAATGATAAAAGCACAAGTCTTCAAATACTTAGAAATTTAACAAGAATCTTCATTTGGTTTTAATTAATACAATTAAGTGCACATGTACTTCAAAATATTTTTTTATTCTCTTTGGTGAGGGAATAAACAATTGAAATATTTTGATTAAATTTTTTTGTTAGCTTCATTTGCTTAAGTCATGTCCAAACAGTCAGGAGTGAGTTTCATCTAACTTATCAATCTTCTACAAAGGCACATAGATGCACTAAAAGCAAAGAGACGACTACTTTTATAGAAATGCTCAGAAATTCAACTACCGTATTTTCTTATGCATAATACAAAAAGTTGTGAATGAAAAATAAAGGCAAAATGGTGGTGGCGGGGGGGGGGGTCGTATTCTACACAAGTACATATTTTCATGAATTTTTTTTTTTACTCAACTTAAAAAGAAACCTTTTATTTGAAAGAGAAAGATTGCAAAAACACTCAGAACAATAGATAATGAAGCATAAAGTAGGCAACTGTTGATAACAATTGTTTACAAAAGATATTTAATATGTCGGCAATATTTGTTTCTCTCTTCATTCTTAATGCAAGACTATATTTTTTTTATTTTCATAGTTTATTAATATATAGAAACACCGTAAAGTCATATCCAAGAGAAAAGTATGATAGATTAATTAACACCCTAAAAAATATTACTGGATATGTCTAGTTGGCAGCTTTCTTCAAAAATAAGTTTTTAAATGAAAATTAGGAGAAACATGCAATGGCTAAACACCTGGTTCATTTCTATTCTTTAATATTGTGAAAAATTAAATATTTTAGTGAAATATATGTAAAACATTGAGATTTTAATGGATAATATGGTACATTTTTTCAAAAGAATATTACATTGATGTGGCTGTACTACAGGGTTGTATTATACTAATGGATGTAATTTATTCCCAGTTTTTAGATTCTGAAAAACATGGGCCTGTATTATTCACAAGAAAATATGGTAGTTATCTTTCTCTCTAAATTGATAAAGGAACAAAAAATTATAAATTAAAAAGGCAATTGATTAATTTGTTTTCTACAGCTTATCAACCTTTTGCAGGTTATTTAAAGCCAGAAAAAAATTTTTTTTTTAGATTGTATGAATTTTGGGGGAGATAATAGTGATTTAGTGTTACAAGTCTTACTAATTAACCCATAGCTGAGAGAATAAGAGGTGGATTCATATCTTTCTCAAGAGAGTTGGCATGTAAGTGAATATTACCAAATCTGACAGAAATTGGAACTCTGCTCTCCAATTAACAATTCAGAGTCATTATTCATTATATCACCTGCATAACCAAACATACAGCACCTGGTATTTCCAAACAGTCACCCATCTGACCAGACTCAATGTTGCTTAACTTTGGTGATTGTACAAGAACCAGTGTTTCAACTTGATATGGCTGTAAGACTTAAAAAAAAAACAAAAAAAAACAAAAACAAAGCTAAGGCTTATACTTTTTAACAATAGTAACTGATTGGTGTGCCACAGTTTATCAGTGACATGTTCCTTTGTGCTGCATATTTCAATTGGCTGACATATTCTTGCATTCAAAATATGTAATTTAAAAAAAAAAAAAATAATTGGCCAAATTACTCTAACCACTGTATGAGAGAGAGAGGTGAAAGGCAGGAGAAATACTTGTGGAGGTAGTAGCAGAGGAAAAAGGAAAGGATAGAGGAGTGATAAAACAGGAAATTGTGATCAGTCATTGAACACCTCACATTTATGCAGTGAAACAAGTGTTTACTGCAATCATTTTGCAACCACCACCACCTTCAAGAGAGATTAAATACTCAGATAATGAATTATCTAGAAATAATACATTTGGGATCAAAGATTAATTATGACAATTACTGAAAAGTGGTTATTCCTCCTCTTGTTATTAATCAGCAACTTGAGGTTTTATAGTTTCAGCTAATAACTTTTCATTGTTGCTCATTAAGTATTACTTTTTGAACAACAACAACTCAATTTGCCTTTTCAACTTGAAGTGGCTTAATGTCTTGTCAAATGATTTATTATATTTGTTCTGATAAATGAATTTAGACTGCAATGTTAGATTCTTATCTACTGCCATTTCAAAAGTAATGTTTAACTAGAGAAAAATGGAATTTTGTTTTATTTCTGAAATGTTTTACTTTTACTGACATACTTTCAATTTTCTCTACATGCATTCAAAATCTTTGTTACTAAACAATTTGTAAATTTTTTTTTCTTCTTTTAACGCATTAAAGTAGATGTTTTAGAATTTAGAATCAACTACACTTTTAGTGAATGTACAATTAAAAGCAGAATAATCACAAGGTCAATTTTCTGCCTATAAATTATTATGCAACAAATCAAGATATGTTACAAGGGAAAGGTTCATTTGTTTTGTCTTAACCTTTATCATTCTGGATGTGACTTGATTTGCTGTACAAAAAGTCTATCCTGCCACTGAAGGGGACTCTGATCCCTAAACAATAGCATGTTTGAATTTTATGGTTGTGTTGTCATGTCCTGCTACAGCAACTGAAAACAACTGTGTGAAATTAACAATAAGGATACTACAATTGAGAGACCTTGCAAAAGAATGCAGTAAAAAGGGAAGTAATATTAATAATGCTGAGTGTGAAAGGTTAATATTTGGATATTTTCTCATATATTGAAGTAAACAATCAATTCAAATATTTCTTCTTTCTGACTAGGAAGTGGGCAGTGCCAGTTAGGCTAGCATAACCAAGGCGGACTTTGACAGACCAAGCATCCGAGAGCCTGATGCAACCAGGTTTGTCAAATCTCACCTGTCTCAAAGCCCTTTGAGCTGCAAGGAAGGCGCTTTTGGTCAAGTGGGTGGTCTTCTCTGTTGTGCAGAGTTGTCCACCAAAATCAAATTCAAGCAAAAAGCCACATCAAACTCTCTCCACTACCACCACGAGAGAGAATAGGGAGAAAGGATGACGATCCTGATGTTGGATGCAAGCATGTGCTGAAAATGACAACTAGGAAAAGAACAGCTACTTCACTTTAAATTAGGAAGTTACAAGAATCAAAACAATTTACATTTTAATGAACGTTTTGAAGAACTGCATTAGTTTATTAGCCACACATTCTTTTATATATATATATATGTATGTGTGTGTGTGTGTGTTGTAGTCTCTGTCTTTATCATACTCCTCCTAGGGTTTTGGAAATAAACCCCCATAACCATATATATTCTCAAACTACATTACCCAGGTTACTTGGATAAGTATATTTCATTTTTATCAAAGGGGGTTACAAATCCCCACTGAAATCTTTTTCCTTTTTGATTTAAATTGAATTTAAATAAGAGAATGACTTCTATCCAAAGCATAGGAAGAGAAAGCCAGAAGATGGCAGTCACATCAGCAAGATCAAAATGAGACAATAGGGATGTCAAGCTGAGCAAGAAATCACAAATCAGTGGGTAGTGCCTTACGATATTATATTTATTGTAACAATTCAACTATTATATCAATGTTGAAATCTGCTCATCAAATCATTCAATGAAGTATTGCATCAAATACTTATCAAAGGGGCCAGATCAAGCTGTTTTTGCACAAATCCCCCACTGAAATTTTTTTCCCTTTGATTGAAATTAAATTTGAACAAGTAAATGACTCCTATCCAAAATATAGGAGAAATCCAGAAGACAGGGGTCACATCGACAAGATAATTGAGTAATATTGAAATGCATCAATTTTTTTCCACAAATTCTAACAATGATTTAAAATCATCATTTCCTTGCAAAAAAAAAAAAAAAAAAAAAAAAAAAAAAAAATGTGACATGCAGCAAGTAGCAGGTAATTTAGCTAGTATAAATAATAAATTTGTATTAGGAGAAAGTACAAGTTAATACAAGCAATATCAACAAGTATTGTCAGCATGACAAAACTTTTTCAACATATGTGTTAATAGACTCTCAAAATAAATAGAGTTTAAAATACAACAAACAATATTTCAACTTCATTGATAAAAAATATATATTTTTCAAGAAGCATTTAAGTATTCCTGGGATTTGTGAGTTGTATTTAATAATTGTCTTTAAACCCTCCAATTTTCTAGTAAATCTTTTTAAAACTCCAACATGCCTCTCATCCTTCTAACAGTTTTTTCTCATCAAAATCACAACCAAAATAGAATTTCTTGTGCCAACCAAAATTACCACAAAAGACTGAACTTGGCTTCAAACATGAAGCTGTTACATCCAAATTGGGATCATATCTAGATTTTGATCAAGTGGCAATAAAGATAATGTTAACATGTTTCCCTTACTTTCAGATTAGATCAACAGTTAGAAATTAATTTACAAAATACTCACCATCCTGAAAGACACGTTCAACATTGAGACCGTATGTTGCACAGGTTTCATAATATGTACATCTTTTCAAATCTGTTGCAAGTTTACGGGCCCTTGTATCATCAATCACACGTGGATTGCTTTCACTGATGGCATCTGGAAATGTAAGGAAAAAAGATATTTTTCTCTTATAAAATGGTAGATCATATAAATTACTTCTCAAATCATTTTTAAATACCAAAATGGCACAAAAGGTCTTGTAATGTTTAAAAAATAAATTTTGAAAGGATTTTTGTTTTTACTTGGATCAGTGATTCTTACATTGTTTTTAAAATATTTTTCAAGGAAAGAAATTTTTACAGCAACAAATAACTTAATCAGAAGTTAAAGAAAAATTACAAATGAAAGGAAATTTAATTTCTTGTCAATTTTTCCTTTGAGCTATCTATCAGCTATGCACCAATTCTGCAATTTAGCTGACCCACAAAATTTCTACAAGCAATTCTTACCCCAGGTCACATGTTAATAGAAACTTTAAAAAAAAAAAAAAAAAAATAAAAGAAAGAAGCCATCTTTTTCAGAATTATTCTGTGGAGCAATATGCAATTATTCTGTACTTTATATTAGTTTTAAGAACACACATGTTGGCTGGTGAAAGTTGCTGATTACAGGAGTGAGATTTTAAGCCCTGTCAATTCACCATGAATTGAATGTTTATCATCAGTTGAAAATTCAAAGATAATTGGTACAACTCTTCTGCATGGTTGACCTCTGTGATATTGAATGGGTCCTAAAATGTAACCTTTCCATCCTGGAAAATAACTTCAGTCCTCCTTTGAGAAGCCTGCAATTTGAAAACTGTACAACAACATTTCTATTCCTGTCTAGAAAAGAGTTCTAAAGAAAGCTGCTGCTATACGAATATACACAAGCCTTTGTTATACTGACTTTATAAAGATCCACTGTATTTTTCACTTCCATATGTGACATCTCAAAGTTTGTTTTTTTTTTTTTTTTTAAGTACACAAATTCTCAGGCAGGATGAAGATATTATTATTAGCAATAATAATGATGATGCTGAAAAATTTCTAGTTCAACCAAGAGGAAGTTTAAAAAAAAAAAAAAAAAAAAAAAAAAAAAAACCCCAAATCTGAGGTTTCATCATTTGGAAAGTGAGTCAAGTCATAGTCAAGAACTTTTCAGCAGCTCCTCACTCGTGTGTATGTGGGCGTTGCTTAGCCTCCCCCAATTTCTTGATCGATTCATTCATTCATTTTCTATGGCTTATCAACCCTTTGTAGATTATTTAAAGACAGGAAATTGATTATAAGAATTGTTTTTAGTGTTACAAATATTACTAATTAGCCCATAGCTAGGGGGAAGAAGAGGTGGACTTTCTTGTCACTAATTTGAGAAGCTTTTTATTAATTGCTGCCTTCAGTTGGTTTAACTGGGGACATAATGTTCAAAAAGTTTTAGTTCTCCAGAAGCTGTTTATAGTGGAGGATTCCTTTCCAATCCCACTATACACATGACATCTTCTTTGACAGACAAACCAACCTTTGGTGGTTCATTTTGCTTGCTCCACAATCTCATTCACACCTTGTTGCTGTAAAATATCCACTTTTCATCACCAGTTATGACAAATACAGTTCAGTAGGTATTTTTTACTAATGAAATTACACATCAAAGCAACTTGCAAAAGATCACTCCATCCTCAATTTGGATAATTTGAGTCAATTGACTAGATTCTGCCATGTCATTTAACCCTTATCTAGCTGGAGTTGAAAGTTATCACCATAGAATTCTCTCCCTTTGCTGCTCTACTCACATTCTGTCGCCTCGAGAGGGCTGCTGAGAATAAAAACTTGTCCTATTATTTCCAGTATTTTAAGCTGGAAATAGACTACTACCACTTTGGAACGAGGCTAAACTTCCATTTTCCAATGCCATTTTGAATTCATCTACACTCTACATGAGGCGTAACATCAATTAAATGCATGTTAACTTTGTCACAATATTTTGTAAGCAAAAATGGCTGTATCGACATCCAACGAAGCCTTTATTCAGAATTTTTTCTTTGATTCAAACTCTGATGATGATTTTGAAGGATTTACACAAGTGGATATTGACAGTGAAGTGGACGGAGATGGAGATGATAACTATGCTAGTGACAGGGAGGAAAGCTATGATGACCACTAGGTGCTTAACAGCTACCATCATCCATGACCGACTAATTTTATGGAACCTACTGGCAACCATCGATGTACCTGATAGCCTTTCTGAAGGTGAATTATTTCATCTATTTATAAATGATGAAATAGTAGCTTTATTTGTTAACAAGACAAATAAACATGCTAGTCAGGTGAAAGAAAGACCAAACAAATGCTGGTGTCTTCTCATATGTAAAGACGAGGAAGTTCATCACTTTTTTTGATGAAATGAAAGCCTTCTTAGCCATTTTGCTTCTTATTGCACCCCCCCAAAGTACTCCAAAGAAGTAATAAAAGTTAATTTTAAATTGTTAATGTTTTTTTATTTTGTGTTTCAATTTTTTTTTGTTTTGAATATCAGAATATGCATGCAAAACAGAGTGCATTGCATCAAAATATTAGTCATTCATTCTTTTATTAGTATACAAAAAATAAAATCTAAACACACAATACAAAGAAAGTTATAACAATTTTGAACAGTAGGTAAATCATCTTTTTTGCACCCTTAAAACAAAAAAAAAAAAAACCAAAGTGGCAGGGGAAAAATAATTCTAGAAAGAATTTGGTGGAGTAAAGGTTAACATTCTTGCTATTTGATCAGCAAAACATATCTAGATTCTCTCATGTCATTTAACATTGATCATTCTTGTGATTTAACTTTGAATGTTGCCATTTGATCAGCAAAACAACTTTAGATCCTCCCATGTCATTGATCATAATGTGAAGAATATTCTCTCCTAAGAATGACTGTGCTAACAGCTAAGTCTCCGTAGACTTTGGAAATTCACCAGACCATAAATTCAGGAAGTTAAGACTAGATTAACAAATTTTATCTCCCCCCCCCCAAAAAGTAATATAAAATTAATTCTCACAACAACAGCTTCAATAATGGGATTCATAAACTTTTCAAATTAGTTATATGATAAACACTCTTGAAAATTGAAAACAAGTCCAGTGAAAAATAAACAATTTTCATTATGAATGTCTGAAACGTTCTTCTGCTGATGAGAGGACATTGAGAGAGAGTGAGATTCTTTAACAAAATAAAGTGCATTAAAAATTTGCCCCAAGTGATGGCCATTAGTTTAGATGAATGGAAAAAAGAAACTTTCACACATCCAGTATTATTAACTGAATGACAATTTGGTTAACAACCAATTAGTTGGTAACCAATTCATTTAAGGTGTATATCATATAAGAATGAATCAAATGATAAAGTTACAAAATTCTTTGAATCATAATTTCAATTGCTTATCAAAAAGCTCAATTCTCAACAGTCTCAAATGTATTAAGTGAATATACAAAATTTGAATATTTTTTTTTTTTTTTTTTAGGTTGGTCTGAATTACAAAGAAAAATCCTTAAAACTTATACCATTTTGTTTGACTGTCTTGGTTATTGAGAAAATGTTAAGCAAAGATCTCAAATCAACAGGAGAAAGGAAATGACACATTGCAAGAGGAAAGCTCAAGATCAGGACTACAATTTCCAAGAAAAGTTTAACATTTTTCTTTTTTAGCACTTAGAAAATTTAACAATTTTAATAAGTCTACAGCATATATTTTAATTTGTAATTAATAGTTTGTAAATAAATTGCTGAGTCAGATAGAATTCATTGATGATATTTTTAAGTTTGGGAACATTCCTTTTATAAAGTACATTTTCTTTTGTGATGTAATAAACCCAAGATTTGAATCAGAATTGTTAATAAAAATTATCTTCAAAACATTTTACTAACCATCTGTAAATTAAGTCAGCATACCAAAGATAAATGACCTAAATTTTTTAATCATCTAAAAGTAAAAAAAAATTTCTTTTGATATTCTCACTTTGGTCATGAGAATTAGATTTTCAGATGACATTATTAAGGCTAAAATTTAAATGAAGAAAAAAAAAATACCATGTCTGATATTCATTTAAAATGGTTAATCTTTGAAAAGTAGTATTTATATTGTGGTATGTAAAGTCAGGTCAAAAGTAAAAACTTAAAAAGAAAAAGTGTGAGAGAATGTCAGGTGAAAAGATGTTGGAGAATGAGGTTGCTAAGACAGGTGTCATAAGTTAAAAGTTTCTGAATCAGTCAACAAATCTCTTTAGAAAATTTGAGATTAAACAAAGGCTGCAAATGGTGGAAGCAACTCAAATGTTTTGATAGCATTTCCAGTCATCAAGTCAAAAGAAAATGAGACAAAAATGAAGAATGTACAATGGAAAAAAAAAAAAAAAAAAGATGGAACAAAATTTGATATAATCAAAATGACACAGAGTAACCAAGAAATAAATTGAACTTTGTTTTTTTTTTTTTTATTTCAGATAATTCAATAAAGATTTATATACAGTTTCAATCTTGTCATGACAAGGTTTTATTTTCTCTGACACAAAGAACTGCTGGGCATTATGAGTAGATTAAGAATGAAGCTAGACAGATTTTCAAGTGATTTTCTCTAAAATAATGAGTAAAACAATTGAGATTAAAAAACAAACTGTCAATTGGGAAATTGAAAATAAACTTTGAAAACTTGCCAGATGCTGCAATTAGTATTAAATATTCTTAAAAAAGAAAAAGAGAGATAAAGAGATTGATTTCATCTTCGTTGATTTCAACAAGCCTCAAGTTGAACAAATAAATCATATTTTCTCTTTTCATATGAAAACTTTCTTTCTTTGCCTCCAAATATGCTGTCAAAATAAAATTGTCTCCAGTTTTTAAGAAACAGAAATTATCTTTGTCTGAGTTGTACACAAATTTTTCTTAATTTATCTATTCTAACATTTTTGTCTTCTATAGTCAAAATCTGATTGAAAAGTAATCGCATTTTCTTGACACTTCTAAATTAGTCTGAGTTTAGAGGTTTAAATAAAAAAGAAAATATATGGGGGGGAGGTGATGTCATGTAATGGGAGTTGTTTCTGGTCTTTGCTTCTATTGAATAGAATTGTTTCTTTTTTTTTTTGCTTTCTTTCATTCTCAATAGACAATATTCATTGAAGGGCAGGGTTACTTTTTAGACATACAAGGAAAACAAATACAGAAACTAACATAAAATCATTCATTTATTCATTCATCAACTGATTTTTGAGGCAGCACAACTGAAGGAAAGAGAACATTTTTTTCCAGGAATCTTTTGGTTTCAGTCATCAAAAAATTAGTTTAGATTCCTCAAGGTAGAACAGAAAAAAATAAATAAATGAAAAAATGAATAAGTATAGAGATTAAAAAAAAACCTCACATTCTTTGAACTGATGATTAGCAACATGGAAGTCATTATTAAAATGAAAACAAAAAAAACAAAAAAAAAAAAAAAAGAGCAAAATATGTCACTGGTTAAATGAATGACATTATAATGCTTAATAATGAAATTAGGTTTTATAAAGACCAAACAAAAGCAAAGCCACTTGTTAACAAGGCCAATCGACTGAATGTTTAAATCAATTATTTGAGTCTTTTTACTTTGTTTGATAGACAAAGAGAGAAAAGAACCCAATGGCATTGGTGGCCTATAGAAAGATTTGTTTAATTATAGTTTCCTGATGATGTAGGTCAATATGAAATCTGATCTGGGACACTTCCTCCAGTAAGAAACTAGGAGAATTATGATGACAAAGTGACTAAGAAGGGTAGACAAAAGGAACAAGCATGCTTTTATATATATATATATATATATATATATATATATATATAAGTAAATATATATATATATAACAAAACAGATTGGCTAAAGCTTTCAAATCAATTGTTAATTTTCACTGAGACATATAGAAAATTACCTGTTGACCTGATTCAATACAGAAAAGTATAACTGAACTGAAAAGATCATTAAAATATTTGTTTTTGATGTTTTTGGGGATAGTGAGCTTATAGTTTATCAACTCTTTGTGGGTTATTTAAAGCTGAAATATATTTAAGCTTGTAAGTGGTCGCATATAGTACCTGGTATTCACAAGTGGTCCCCCATTTAAGTACTGACCAGATTCAACATTGTTTAACTTTGGTGATTGAACAAGAACTGGTCATCAGGCATAATAAGGATCAAACAATCACAGTTAATCATTTAGAATTTGATAGAAACATTTCACTTGGATGGATTAGTTTTCATTAAGTTGCAAGGATTATTAGACATATCAAGAGAATCTATAGGTAAAACACTGTGTGTGTGTGTAACATTTTCTGCAAAATGCACAAATGATCTGATCTTAGGCAGAGGGCTAGGGAAACATACTTTTATCTGTGGCTGAGTGCACAGATACTACACTGATCCTAGACAATCCATCCCTAAATAATCCTGTCAATTTTTGTAGGCACTAGACTAGTTTATCTCACTTGTTTTTCCATTAAATTTTGAAAGCTTGTTTAAATGATTGATGTGTATTTTTAATTTATTCCAATAATATATATATATATATATATATATATATATATATATATATATAGATATAGAGAGAGAGAGAGAGTGATGATCCTAAAAGCTAAGGTTGCAAACTAATATCCATGCAACTTAATATATTAGTTCTATCACTGATATTGAGCACTTTCCAATAAGTACTGCACATATAAAATAAAATTATATATATATATATATATATATATATATATATATATATATATCCCATCCCAGTATACGGAATAAAGACATTCAACATCACCACTTGATAAGACACCAGAAGTGTTGAAACAAAATGGCTATTTCTGTAGTGATTTTATAACATTTTTATGTTAGAATTTTCGACTAAAAGATTTTATATATATATGTATATATACACACACACAACGAAGTAAGGGAAACAGTTCAGTTGATGTCAGCAAATGAACATATACAAAGTCATCTGACGAGATTTTCTCTTCAGGTTGTTTTTCATTGTTGAATAAATAAAGTTCTATTCAAAATGAAATGAAATTGAAGCGGCTGTGATAATAAGAAAAGGAAATGTGTGTACATCCAGTAAATAGGAAGCCAGATTAAAGGAACCAAAATATTATTAGTGAAAACAAGAAGATTAGAATGACAGAAAAATATGTTCAAGAATAAAATTTGTTACACTTCTTTTTCAGTGTCCCAAAAACATTAAAAATAAATGTAAAATTCAGGTTCAATTCCCATGTCCAAGTAAATGTATCAAAAATTGTACAATTATAAAGATTGACATTTTTGGGAGAGGGAAGTAAATAAATGTATTTTTTCTGTTTGAATTGGGTCATTATGAAATAAAAAAAAATATAATCAAAGTCAAATTTTAAACAGAAATGCATTAAAAAAGATAAATAACTCCTTAATTTTACTATACTTATTATAGCTGTCATCTTTTCTGCTGTGACTTCATGAATTTAGGCACTGTACTAGATTGGCAGTTAGGTCTCATAATTTCACTGTTGAAATTGCTAGTTGTAACCCCAAGTTTTATGCTATGAGTTTTTTTTCTCTCACATTTCTTGTTTATGGAACTCTTCTGGCTTATTGTTTTTCTGTCAACTACAATCTTCAAAAGTTTAAATGCAACACCAATCATCAACTTCTCTCCCCTTGAATCCTGTTCTTTTATTCCCTTCTCTTTTTATTTCACTCTTAGTAACCTATTGCATTCTAGTGGCTTTTATTGCCTTGTTTGGAGTAAAATAATTTAAGAAAAAAAAAAAAAAAAAAAAAAAATTACAACACAAATTTTCTTTTAAATTAATTTATTGTAAATAACACTATTGAAATAGCTAAGTGCTTAATAAAATCTAAATAGAGGCAGATGAGATGAAAAAAAAGTCATATGTTTTGTGTCATTTTTGACATGATAGGCATTTAAATAAAATGGCGAAAACCTTTTGGCAACCACAACGGGGCAATGGTAAAATAGTATTCTCATCTCTCAAACCTTTCATTAAGTTTTATTCCTCATTGGCACACTTTACAAATCTAGTTTACATTCAGATTTTGTTTAGTTCAAAAATATTTAAAAAAATTAGAGTTCCATGTACAGATTATATATATATATATATATATATATATATATATATTTGGCTGAAATTGGCCCAGGCATCTTATAACTAATATAGATATTCCTTTTTTTAATTGTCTCGGACTATAAGGAATTACAGAAAAGCACATGACTAATGCCTCTAAGAATGAATGAACCACAATGACAAAATATATTACTCTCGGTAACTATCACACATATTCTAATTGGCAATTTGCGTGAGTATTATTCATAAAAAAAAAACTTCCACAAAGGTTAGGAAAGATTATCAATACATTAAATTTGATTTTATATTTGCAATTATTTACATTTTGACTGATGCTCAAGGACATTTTTTTTTTTTTTCTATCAAGATAGTCATAAAAAATTCTCTTGATTAATGAAGCAATGTAACTGAGGACAGGAGTCTTGGAACAAAATCACTAATTATCAAATAAATGTGAGAGAAATCTGAATGCAAATGACACTAAGATGACATTTAAAAAATAATTCCTCAAAAGTTAATTACTCACCCTGAGTTCCCACCAGAATTAGGGGGATATCTGTAGAATTACGATAGTGTGCCATCTTGGCATAGTAGCTGTAGACTGCCTGGAAGCTCATTTCATTTTCAAGGCTAAATACAAAGATGACTGCATCCACCCATTGAGTAAACTGAAAGAAAGAATAGAATATGATTTTTAGACATTGAAGAATTCCTTCCAAGAAGGAATAGAAGAGCCAGAATAAAAGTCAAATACTGGGCAATAGTAAAAGATTGAAGTTCCAAAAGGAAAAAGAAAATACCTGGAATTATGGCAAGTCGTGTGCAATTGTTGCATTAATTATTCAAACAAATATCTTTGTTATTTTTATTACAATATTTTGACAAAAACATGACAGAAACATCAAAGAGAATTGACTGTGAAATAAGCAAGCAGTTATTTAAAATGTTATATGACAGAGTCAGGTGAAGAACTGACGCTAGAAACATTAACAAAGTTTAAAGACATTGAGAGAAAAATAAAACTTGCATTTTTCCTTTTTATTTATCATCCAATTTAAATAATTGAAAATTATTAATTTTTTTTTTTTATTGCATCATTGTATTTTAGAAAACTGGAGAATCAGTTGATGCATTTTTGCCACTTTTGACAAAAGTTTTAAGATATTAATCTTAAAACTTTTGTCAAAAGTGGCAAAGATGCATCAACTGATTTTCCAGTTTTCTTTGTATGGAACAACAAACATCAATCATAAAAATGAACATTTTTTTTCAAGGTATTTGTAATCATAAAAACTTGTATTCTCTTCTTTATTTACATTATTTGGACTATTGTCCTCATTTTTGTCGCCATATTTATCACGTTTTGGCCGTTGTACGCTCCGGCCTTCTTCCGGTGGTTGGAATGTTGAACCGAACCCTTTATTTCGCTCACTGGAGTAGACTGTTCTAGTTCTGCGTGCCATGTTTAATGGATGTCAGCTATCAGTTATCTCCTGTTAATTTTCCCTCTGAAAGTTCTCCACTGCCTTAGTGTACAATGGCAGAAACGTTGTGATAAATATGGCGACAAAGATGAGGACAATAGTCCAAATAATGTAAATAAAGTACATAATACCTCATCTCAGAAATATAGACAGATATTGTATTCTCTTTTAGAGATTTTTCTAAAAAAACACAAAGACATTCTTTTTCCTTTATCCATGTTTAACAAATTCAGTATTTGTCGATGTCTTTCCCTTTATAAATTCAAATTTAAACCACAGAATTAAAGAATAGCCAAAGACATTATCCAAAAGGTCAGAACCAGAAATTGACATTTTTATACAAGATGAAAGATTAAATCTACAAATAAGCAGGAATCAATGAATAAAAGAGACCAAATAAAGAATACCACAAATTTAGCACTTTCATTGAGCTCAAAATTGAACATGAAACTATTTTTTTCACACACACACACACACACACACACAAAAATAGTAAATTCAAATAATTTTGCAGAAACTTTTTGAAAAGATCTAATTCTTTAATATTCTGTGTAAAAATACAATTTTTATAAAATTAAGCAACAAAACTTTATTTAAATTAAATTTACGTGTGTGTGTGTGTGTTTCTTATGCATTTATACTTGACTAATCTGAAAGGTATAATTTGATGTTAACTGCAAAACTGAAATTATATAAAATATATGCATACAGTGATTGAAAAGATTTTAAAATCATGGTGCTGGAGTGGGAGCAGTTACATCCATCACGAAAAAGTCATGAGTTTTAGTATCCCTATGAGGGGTTTATGCTACAATGTCCTCAGCATACAACAGACTTCCTGAAATTTGACCAAATGACCAGAATTAGAGAAATGCAACACTTCTTGGCCATGTTTTGAGTAGGTGGGCAATAGTCAGTTTTTCAAAATGTGGAGATGAATTGTCTTGCAGGAATACACTAGTCAGTTCAAAAGCTTTTCTTGGTTGTGACATGTACCACTCAAAAAGTGTCCAAGAATTGACAGTAATTCTCTGCATTTATTTTAATATCATCATCAATTTTGAAAAGACCTTTCATTTTACAATCTACAATACTAGCCTAAAACTTTACTCTGCCTCTCCTCTTTTAAGTTGTATCAGTTAATAATTTCCATGAAGGATCCAACTTCTAGCCTCATCCATCCAGTTCAGAAATCAGTTTTCATGTACTTCTTTTTACCAAAGTTACAAATTTCTCTTTGTAAGGTTTTCTAATAGGTGGTAGTTTTGTGAGTTTCAGGACTTTAGCCAATCTTTTTAATATTCTTTTTTTTTTTTTTTTTTTTTTTTATCATTTCACCCCAAATAAAGCAAAAAAAAAACCCACTAGGGTTACTGAGAATGAAAGAAACAGAGGACAATAAAAGATAAGTATTCAAAGAGATAAAAGATGACGAATGACATTGAATTTAAATCTTTGAAAATTGTAGTTGACAGGAAAGCAAGAGGCTTGAAGAGAGTTTCACAAGCAAGAAGTGTGAGAAACTATCAGCATTGAGTTTATGTGGTTACAACTTGTAATTTCAACAGTGACATTACAAGATTTATCTGTCAGTCTAGTACTGCACTGAACTTTGTGTAAAGTCAAAGTACCAATTACCATGAAAATATTTACAGAAAAGGTTCAGGGAATGTATATTGTCTTCTATAAGCATCCATATGTAGAAAGAATAATCAGTCAATAATGATGATTGATATTAGAAAAATACATCAGATAAAAAGAAAAAAAAGAAATAGCTACAAACTAAGTCTATCATCAATCCAGAAATAGTTTGTTTTTTTTTTGTTTTTTTTAACTAGATGATAAAATGCACACATTCATGAAAGTATACTTTTCCATTTGAAATAATTACTATGAAAGGTTTCTTCTTCTAAGACTTTTAAAAAAAGAAACATTAATTTTTTTTTTCTGATAGCAAAAAAGGAAAAACTTACTCATAAAGTAAGAACAAGTAGAAATGACAAAAAACCTTTTCCTATTTTGAGGAGGTGACTTCCTTCACTTGTACCAATTAGTTTCTTGAAATTCAAAGACAAATGACCTCAAGAAAATCAGTTACTAATTCTCATCCTGTACACCTACTTTTTTTGTTTAAAGTTAGGGACGCTTAGAATTTGTCTTTAAAATGAAAGAGTCCAATACATTTAGCCTAGTTTCGGGCATTAGGTTAAGCATTCTATTTCAACAGTTGCTCTATATAGGAAATGTAAAGTAAAATAGAAACCCTCATGAATATGCTATTCTCACTTTTTTGACATAATCCAATGGTATATTTACATTTTATAAGTTTTACTTAAAAAAAATATTTTTGTTTTAAATACACAACAGTAGAGCATCACAATTTGATCAAAAAAAAAAAAAAAAAAAAAAAAAGGTAAAAAGCTGTATTTTCATGATCATGTAATGATTAAAAAACATCTTACCCCATTTACATAAGCCAAAATTGTTTTATAATAAACAACGAATCAATAAAACTGATATTAATTAAATCAGATATTAATTTCAAAACCTAATTTCAAAAGTAAAATTAACAAATATAATATTTCAATCACATAATTGTGAAACTTATGGGTATATTATAAAACATTGCAAAAAATAAAATTAATTCTATTAAAATAAAATAATGTTTTACTTTCTTATTAAATCACATCCTTCAACTACATTTGATGAATATAAGCAGACCCAATTTAATACTAGAGTAAATTTTGAGAAAATATGCTTGCAGAGATACTAATTTCCAAATTGATTTTTCAACCTTTTCTTTTTTTCAGTAAGAAAATAGAGAAGATGAGGCTTTTTGGGTTTTTTTTTATTTAGTTCATCCCAAGCAAAACAGTAAAGCCACTGAGATGCAAGTGGGTTACTGGGTGTGGAAAAGATAGGAACAGGAACATGGCTTCGGAGTGAGAACAGAGGAAGAGTAATCAGGAGGACAGCAGATAATGATTAATATTGCATTTAAATTTTTGCAGATTAAAGTTGGCTGGAAAGCATGAAACTGGAAGGGTGTTCCACAAGCAAGAAGTGCAAGAAAAGAAACTGTTAGCATTGCATTTATGGTTACAACTAGCCAGTTCAAGAGTAAAGACTAAGACTGCACGAAAATTCAAAGAGTCTAAGCACCATAGCAAAGAGCACATCCAAACACAATGGAAGTATTTATAGAAAAGGCAAAGGGAGGCAACCTTATGGTGGTGGGAAAGTGACTGAAGACGAGACACCAGATCAAGGCCAATAATATAGCAATATTTATTCTGCAAATGAAACAGAAATGTGGCACAAGGCCGAAATAGGGGAATGGGGAGAGGACGGTCTTCTTCTGTCTTAGTTTTAACTTAGCTAGCCATAAACACTGACCCAATCGCACGGATAATATTCCTTACACCAAAACATCGATTTATACGCACCTTTCAAACTACAAACACCATAATACCTCGTTGTCTCTATGAAAAAAACTAACTAAACCCCATATGTACAACAATACAAAGTCTGTGAGGGGAGGGAAATATAACAATAATTCTAAAAATTAACCCCAATGTTTATTTACAATATGAGCATAATCTATTTACAGGAAACTAAGGAAAATATTATTAGTAATAAAACTCCCCACAATCACCTAATGTGGCAATAATCCCATTTCTCTGGCGAAATCAATGCGGGACTCTAATAGCATAATCATTCATTCATCTCACGTATTCACACTAACACGCACTCATTCAAACACAACAACAAATACGAAAAAGACACTCGCTTACGAAACGAAAAGGCCCCCGCATCCACCAAGAACTGACATCATTGACCACCTAAAGAGGGAGGGATGGGGAATTAAACTTAAAGAAAATAGGGACAAAAAGAAAAGGGACCAATGAGCATACATACCCTAGCTAAGTTAATTAAATAAAAGAAAAAAGAAACTAAAAAGTCAACAAACCAACCTAATCTAACCTAGTTTCTGGATGGGTTGCCCTAGTTCAAACCAGGAAAAGCAATATCCTAATGCCTAACGGGCATCAAAATGCCACTCAAGGTCAGCCCCTTTCACACGACACAAACGCGCAAGATGCACCCACCTTTTGCTGAATTCTGATGAAGGGAGCCGCCGCCTTTCCGTCCTAATCTTGACTTTAAGCTGATGCTTAAAGTAC